TCCCTTTTGGGAAAATTTACATGTAGCCATTAGTACAGGTAAGAGTCTCCAGTAGAGCAAACAGCAGCCCCCCAGGGCTGTTTCAGGTGAGGAAAATGGCACCAGAGGAAGGCATAATCTCTCCTCCCCCGACGTGGTGTAGTTCGGGTTGCCAGCTCCAAGTCAGGAAATAAATGGAGATTTGGGGGGGGGAGAGCCTGAGGAGGGCGGGGTTTGAGGAGGGGAGGGACTTCAAGGGGGTATCATGCCACGGAGTCCACCTTCCAAAGTGGCCGTTTTCTCCAGATGAACTGATCTCTGTTGTCTGGAGATGAGTTGTATTCCCAGGAGATCTCCAGCTACCACCGGGAGGCTGGCAACCCTAGCTGTGGTTCTGATCCAAATCAGGCCTGTGCGCACTTGAGACATCATTTCCAAGCACAAATCATGTCTGTTGGCTGAACGTGGTGGTGGTGGTGGGGATGAAGATTTTGTAATATGTGACTTGACCCTAACTCTGCTTCAGTTCTGACTTCCAGAGATGCATTATTTTGCTTTTTGTTTCTGGGGAAAGGGTGGGGTTGCCAACCTTTGGATGGGGCTTGGAGAGCTTGCAGAATTACAGTTGAACTCCAGAGGTCAGCTTTCCTACATGAACCATAAAGTCTAGGAGAAATAAAAATCCTAGAATAGCTACATTGGCCCCGGTCACACGGGAGGCTTTAATCCGCAAGAGGGACGGATCGGGGGCGCATCAAACGGGCGCGATCACACCACAACATCTGGGAAGCGGCGCACATCTGTCCTCAATCCGTCTCTTCCAGCCGAAGATGCAGATTAATCCCCCCCCCCTACAAAACACTAGTACTTACCAGAAAATCTGCAGCAGGGGCGGCCATGTGATCGTCAGTGCGCCCGTCTCTCCTGCAGCATGGAAGGTCCTGTCGAACTGCGCATGCACAGCGGGCTCGCCTCGCTCTGCAGCGGGCCGGAGGCTAAAAAAATGTGAGCTAGCTCACACTAACTCAGCTTAGAGGGAACACTGGTTGTCAGTATCCTTCTAGAACCATGACCCAGGTGTGTTACAGCTGCTGAATCTGAACCTCCAGAAGACTAGTAGCACTGAATGAGATCTTCAGGTATCTTATATGTGGACATAGATCTGTAAATCTGCCTAAGCTACAGCTGACTATTTTATTCAGTATTTGTATTTCTTCTTTGCTTTTTGGTGTGTCCCCCCTTGGCTAACAGTACAGTAGGTCACTGAGAGAGAGAGAGAGCAGAATCACTGAGTCTAAAAAAGGACCACTTCCTTATCTCCCCACATCAGCACCCAAAGCAGGAGGGCTCTCTTTAGCTGTCTCTGCTTTTGCCCTTTCAGCAATGGCTTTCCCCAGCCTTTAACTCCAGGGGCTTCATTTGAGAAACTGAGTTTACCCTTTCCATAGTCAGGTCATAGGCCTATCTGGTTTGAGTGGAGGAAGCTCTTTCCCAATGCTCGCTGCCTGATACCCAGAGAGGTGTAGCGGTTAGGACTGTTGGACCAGTATCCCCACTCATGCCACGGAAGCTTGCTGGGTGACCTTGGGCCAGTCACACCCTCTCCAACCAACCTACCTCACAGGGTTGTTAGGATAAAATGGAGGACAGGAGAATGATGTAAGCAGCCTTGGGTCCCCACTGGGGGAAAAGGCAGCCTATAAATGAATTAAGTAAATACATAGATCATACCAGGGAATGAACCTGGGACCTTCTGCATACAAAGCATATGCTTTACCAATAAGCCACAGCCACTCTCTTTACCTGTGTGTCAGGCTGTTGTTAAAAACATAGCAGAAGGTCTTACTGGAAACTTAAGCCTAGCCCCCTTGTAGGGATGGGTACGAATCAGAAAAATATGTTTGGTTTCGGTTCGTGGCTGAACCACAAACTGAACCCGGAGGTTTGTTCGCAAACTGAACTGGTTTGTGGTTCACAGCCCCACAAACCCTGTTGAAAGGAACCACAGTCCCTTTAAATGAGGTTTGCAGAAAGCCTGAAAAGCAGCTGAGTGGCAGGGAGCAGTCTTCACAAGAAAGCCCCAAAACAGCTGAGTGGTGGGGAGTTTAAAGGGATTGCAGAAGACATCCCGAAACAACTGAGCCGTGGGTATCAGGCTGCTTACCACTACTTAGCTGATTTTGCAGCAGCTGCGTGGCAGGGAGCAATGTGCTGCATGCCACTCAGCTGTTTCTATAAACTTTAAAGGGACTTCACAAGAAAGTCCAAAAACAGATAAGTGGTGGGGAGTTTAAAGGGAATGCACAAGATAGCCTGAAACAGCTGAGCAGCAGGTAGCAGATGGCTTCCCACAGCTTAGCTGTTTTTGCGGCTTTTGTGGGGAACAGAAAGCAGGGGTTTAAAGGGACTCAGACTCCCTTTAATCTCCTGCTTTCTGCTCTGTTTATGAACTGCCATGAATGGTTGTTAAAGTTCATGGAAGTTCATGATGGCAGACCCATCACAAACTTCAATTTGTGGACCACACAAAATTCATCATGAATTTTGGTTCATGGTTCGGTTCATACCCATCCCTTCCCCCTTGCTCTTTCTTGTTCCCTGTTCACATCTGATACTGCAAGATAGATTTACGACCCAAGAACCAAGAAAATATCTCCTCATTCAGATTTGAACAGATTGCATTAGCTGGCTGTGAAGACTCTCAATAGCTTTGCTAACATTGTTTTCCTTTTGTTTGCTCGACCATTTTTTTTTTTTTAACAAACAGCCCTGTGTTGTTCTTGGCACGAGCTTGAATTTGTTTCACTTTGATGGATGAGCAGGCACCTGAGCTGGTTTAGGTATTTGCATACAATGCCCTTCTGCTCTGCTAGAGCAATCTCTAAATGACTGCCAGCCAAGCCAAATCAAATGTCTACTATTGCAATGCCATGTTGGACAAGGAACAAAATCAGAAAGATAAAAGGCTCCCATTTTCAAAAGCCTTGGGTTGACAACTCAGAAGAAGTAGTAGTATATAAATTAGTGTTTGGCTGATGCCCCGTGTCTGATATGGCCTTCATTGGAAAGAGGATGACTATCTATTTTAATGTGGCCACCTCCATGTTAAGAAACAAGGGTGCATTTCAGTCTGGGGAGTTAAAAATGAGGATTTCCATGAAGCATACATAGGGTGCTAATGGTGGTGGAGAAAAATGTCCTGGCCCTTTAATACAGGCTTAAAGTGTAGAAATGGACAGCAGAAGTTTTTCATGGCATAGAGATAAATAACATCACCTGGTAAATAATATCTCATTAAGCCCCATCTGAAGGCTGGAAAGGAAGGAGATGGAGATATGGGTATGCTCAATCTCTTTCCAACCTTCATCCCATCCTGAACATGTTGACAGTGGGGCTAGGAAAACAAACCTTTCTCTGACACTGATTTGCAATGCCATGTCCATCAATAATAAGAGTGGAACACTCCAAATTTACTTTGCAATGCAAAAGGTGGACTTGCATGCATGACTAAGACCTGGGTGAGGGAAGGTGAGACTGTCACCTTGAAAGAGCTGACCCCCCCCCCCTCCCGGGCTACTCGGTCCTCCATCAGTCCTGGACAAAGGGATGGAGGGTGGCAATACTCACCCAAGAGACTTCCTACTTCAGGTCACTACCCACCCCTGAGACCCCTGGCGTTCAGGGGTCATTTCCTGCAGGAGTGCACAGGAGCGGAGCTCCAGCAGTAAAGAGCCCAGGGGGCAGGCACATGCAACAAGCCCCACCCCCTGCTCCCAGCAACCCTCAGTCAGAGCAAGAAGCAGCCAGGTAAGTTGCAGAGCCCCCTCCACGCCCCCCCCGGTCCAAAACAGTCCAGTGGCACCTTTAAGACCAAGTTTTATTCAGGTACAAGCTCTCCCTCCTCTGCGAGGACAGATCTGCACATCCCCCACCCCCAATAGCTAGCAATCCAAAACAGTCCAGTGGAGCCTGAGCAGTGGGTGTTGCCTTCTGACACACTTCCGGTGATTTCAGGGGGTGTGGCATATGTAAATAAGTTATGCTAATGACTTATGCTAATGAGCTCCTGCACCTCTTTTTCTACGAAGTGACCCCTGCTGGCATTGGCTGTGTAGGCCTAGCGTGGGGAGTTGAAGAGAGTTTGGCAATCTGGCTGGTGTACTGACTGCCTAGTGCATCAGCAGATACCCTGCCAAATGTGTTGGAGGTGATAGTGGCCTGGGTCTTGGAATACCCCAGACTGGAGAATTGCTCATAACAATTAAGCATTATTTACAAAAAAGAACGTGTTCAAAACCAACAGTAGGCTCCTCTGTAATTCCATACATAAATAGTGTCCATAGACCTCCAAACAGAAAGTAACTGTGGCAGAAGACAACCACTGTGGAAAGAATAACAGCCGTATGTCTCTCCCAGGTATAAATCAAGGTGTTTCAATGATCTTCAACAGTGGCTGGTAAAACAGAACTCGATTTCTAAAATAACACAGGCACAACTTGGTAACTTCAATAGGATCCTAGGGCTCTCTACAGGGACCTCAGTAGGGTACAATGCCATAGAGTCCACCCCCTCCCCGCCAAAGGATCCATTTTATGAAAGATAACTGATCTCTAGTCTGGAGATGAGCTGTAATTCTGGGGGGTTCCCAGGTCCCACGAGGAGGATGGCACCCCTGTCTGGCCCTACCTAGGGATATTGCCACTTTGCCTAGTCAGGAAAACTAGCAGTGGTCCTGGGCAGGGGTCATTTCATAGAAAAAGAGCTAGGGGAACTCATTAGCATAACTCATTAGCATATGCCACACCCCCTGACATCACTGGAAGTGTGTCATAAGGCCACACCTCCTGACATCACCGTGTGTCATAAGGAGTGCAAGGAAGCCCCGCGAAGGCCCTCCCTGGCCCCAGGCAGGCAGGGGTGGGGAGAGGCAGGGAGGAAGCAACTTACCTTCCCTCTTCTCCTGCCTCCTCCTGGCTGAATGAGGGCCGGAAGTGGGGCGGCCGGAAGCGGGGGGCGGGGCTTCATCATGTGCCCCGCCCCCTGTACCTCACCCAGGGGAACTGCGATCCCCCGCGTTCCCCCCGAAATGACCTCTGGTCCTGGGGATATAAACAGGTATGTAGATTACTCAGAGCCATGAGAGTACCAATTAGTTTCTAAATATCTGTACAGAGGCTCCCCATTATCTAATGCTAGGTTTGTTGGAGGTAAGTCTATATAAAGAATTGGGTTGGATAACCCAAACTTGCCCAGTCTCTTTAGATCTGGAAGCTAAGAGGGGTCAGCCCTGATCTGTATTTGGATGGGAGGCCACCAAGGAAGTTTAGGGTTGCTACGCAGAGACAGGCAACTGCAAACCACCTATGAACATCTGTTGCCTTGAAAACTCTATGGGGTATAAGCTTTCAAGAGTCAAAGTTCCCTTCATCAGAGAGCTTTGACTTTCTCAAAGGGATTCATCTCTTTGATTCTACATCTTCTACTACAGACCAACACAGTTGCCCTCCAGAAATGATTTCCAAGTATTTTACCACTGATGCCAGAGGCTGCACTATCTGTCTTTTTCCTCCTGCGTGCTGCCAGCCTCCCTCCCAAACTGAAACAATGGCTGTGCCCAGGGGTCGTTTCGTAGAAAAAGAGGTGCCGGAGCTCATTAGCATAACTCATTAGCATAACTTATTCGCATATGCCACACCCCCTGACATCACCGGAAGTGTGTCAGAAGGCAACACCCACCGCTCAGGCTCCACTGGACTGTTTTGGATTGCTAGCTATTGGGGGGGGGGGGGAACGTACAGATCTGTCCTCGCAGAGGAGGGAGAGCTTGTACCTACCTGAATAAAACTTGGTCTTAAAGGTGCCACTGGACTGTTTTGGGCCGGGGGGCTCTGCAGCTTACCTGGCTGCTGCTTGCTCTGACTGAGGGCTGCTGGGAGCAGGGGGTGGGGCTTGTTGCATGTGCCCGCCCCCTGGGCTCCTTACTGCCGGAGCGCAGCTCCTGTCTGCTCCTGCAGGAAATGACCCCTGGCTGTGCCATGGAAGTCTAGGCATCTCCTTGTGACATCCTCCCCCCAACCCGGAAACTCAATTCAAAGCAATCCCCATAAGTAGTTACAGTTCCTGGGATTATGATAAAATGAATTTGGATTCTATCAAATATCCTTTTCTACACTCTCTGAATTAAAAACAAAACAAAACCCTTGACTGTCAGTTTGGAAACTTGGCTCCGATTACATCTCCTTTTTTGTCCTGTGCAGGTGTTAAGGATCTGGGATATTCAGCATCAGCTTTGCATCCAGAGGATTGCGGGTTCCTTCCCCAAAAGCCTAGACTTCCATTCTGTGCTTTACTTCGATGAACCTCGTGGGCGTCTGTTCATCTCATTTAACAACCAATTGACTTTACTGGAAATGGAGCCGGAGACGGGCAAGAGCAGAGTGGCAAGTCACAGGAAAGCGGTCACTTGTGTCCTTTACAATTCGGTTTTCAAGCAGGTAAAGAAAAAAAGAAAAAAGGAAAACCCTTTTTTTTTTGCATTATTATTAGTCAGATAAGCTGTTTTGAGTCTCCGATTCGCTTTGATGGGATTTCAGCAAGCACTGAACTGGGAAGAGAAATGATTTTGTCCTGATGTATACTCATTATTGGTTTTCTGTGCACTTGCTGGAAAGAAGTAGAAGCCTTGCGGATTCCCAAGAGTTTTATTTCCCTGGCAAATGTCAGTGAATTCAATATATCTCGGGTCAATTGACTTTGGCTCAGATCGAGACACTGATATATGACATAGATACTTCCAAAACGCAAGAAAAAAGGACTAGAGCCCTTCCCTTCCCAAATGGGAGCGGTAGCAGGTGGTAGTGTTTACTCTTTCATAGCTTCCCTGTCATTAACAGAGAGATAGTGCAATCCTATGCAGAGTTACGCCCTTCCAAATCCATTAAAATCAATGAGCTTAGGTGGGTGTAACTCTGCTGAGGGTTGCACAGGATATACTTTGCAACGTAAACCAACGCGCACACTTGACAGCAATTTGTTAGGATTCATAATTCAATCTTTCTGGTGCAGAGTACAATTTACTTGGTGTATCATTCATAAAGACCAATAGTAATACGCTGCATCTACAGAGCATTGGCAAGGTTTCAGAAATGTGGTGTAATCTTTACAACTACCCCATAAAGTAGGTCAATATTACAACTCCCATGCTACAGATGGGGAGGTCTGAGGCTTGCCTAAAGTATGCATTGCAGGGGTGAGATCTGAACTGGGGGTCTCCTATATGTAGTAGCTCACATGGGTACTACACTACCCCAGATAATACGTAGCCCTGATGCTCACTCCTGTAGTGGTTAGAGTGTCAGACTAAAAACGGGGAGGTCGACCCAGGTTCAAATCCCCACTCTGCCCTGGAGGCTTACTGGGCGACCCTGGGCAAGTCATACATGCGCAGCCTCACCTGCCTCACACAGTGGTTGATGTAAGGTTAACAAGGAAGAAGGAAGAATATTGTAAGCCACTTTGGGTCCCTGTTAAGGAGAAGGGTGGCTTCTAAATGAAGTAAATACATAAACTACCACCCTGGGACAAGTTCTGGGTCTTCTTATAGCTGATGTTTCCCCTCAGTGCCAGGGTTGCCAGCTCCTGCTTGGGAAATTCCTGGATATTTTGGGGGGCAGAGCCTGGGAAAAGCAGGGTTTGGCGAGGGGAGGAAACTCAGTGGGATATAATGCCACAGAGCCCACCTTCCAAGCGATGCATTTTCTTTGGGGGATCTGATCTTGGTTGTCCGGAGATAAGAACATAAGAGAAGCCAATGTTGGATCAGGCCAATGGCCCATCTAGTCCAACACTCTGTCACACAGTGGCCAAAAATACCAGGGGCCATCAGGAGGTCCAGCAGTGGGGATCAGTTGTAATTCTGGGAGATCTCCAGGCGCCACCTGGAAGATGGTAACCCTAGTGCAGATTTTCAACCTTTTACAATTCTATGGCTGCGGTCACACGGAGCATTAGCCACGCTACAGAGATGAAAGATAGGTGGATTTTCTGGGTGCGATCAAAACACAACATCTGGGAAGCGTAGAGCTCCCATGGCTAACCCGAGGCTTCCCGCCGAAGATGCGCCGTAAAAAACTAGTACCTCCGAGGTACTAGTTTCCGGAAACCGTGGGGCAAGGGCTGGCGTCTGATCACATTTCCGGTGGTAGCATTCCCGTCGCAAAAAGGGGTTTTTTTTCCAGGTCTCCATGGGATGTGCACAAGCACCCAACGGCGCATGCGCACACTCTGCTTTTTTTTAAAAAAAAGCCCCGCCGCGCCACTTCTTTGCCGCGCCGCAGGATTGACGTATGATTGGCACCTCCCCCCGAACCACGGGACGTCGGCGGGACGTTTGATCCGGTGGTTGCGCGGTAGTTCACTCCGGGGCAAACAGCCACGACTCCCCCCCCCCGCGATATCCGGCCCATGTGACCGGGGCCTATGATTACTCCTCCACTCCCCCCCAAGTGCTAATGAAAGGATTGCCTTTATTCTCACTTTCAGGTTCTCATGAACCTGGCTTTGGAAACTTTCTGAGAAGCCAACACCTGGTGATGCCTGTCTGGATATAGTTGGGAAACATGCATGCAGCATAACTAGGCCAGAGCCTCATTTTTGCAGGCACCTTTTCCCTAAAGTGACCTTGCAGCCTGGTGGCCGAGGATCATGATGACATATTTTTATAATAAAACGTGTTGGTTAAATGCAACGCCACTTGGTATGCATGTGGAGTGCTGTTTGTCTGTGCAGCACTGTGGCCTATGCGATGGGAGCACTACCTGAATCTCAATGAAGAGCCACCCTCGATAGACAGGGAAAGGCTTGTGTGATTGATTTCTCTCCCCCCCCCATCCTTTAGCTGTGCCCAAGTAGCATCTTTTAATCTCCGGATTGAGATTCAGCTAAAGCAGACATCTCAGTAGCACAGACTGCAGGGTGATATCGAAGATCATCAGCATTTTCTTAACAAAAATACATAAAAACCTGTAATCTTTTATTTGGTACAGATGAGTGCAGAAATCTTGCAGCCAGTTGGACCAAAGCAATAGATACATCGCGTACTGTCAAGGAAACAGCTCTACAGATTAATAAATTAAGCCTTAACTTTGTCTACAGTTCTGTATATAGAACCATAGAGTTGGAAGGGATCTCCAGGGTCATCTAGACCAACTGTTAGAGAACAAGCCTGATATTTGCTTTATGGACTGCTTATTGCTACACACAATGGACTGTGCACATACACATAGGCTCAGAAAGTTGTACACTTTAGGTCACCTGTTGTGATGACACACATAGAGGGTGCCTGCACATACCTTACATGTAAATAAGGTTTCAGTAACACAGTTACCCAGCCTGGTGAAGAAGCACAGACCTCCATTATTGTGAGCAATGAAACAACAACTCTAGGAAAAGACAGCCCCCATGGCAAAGCTGCTTGTGGTCATGTACTACCCATCACCTGCTTTGTTCCTAAGCTGGCATTTCCTGCCAGATGGAAATTTGGCCAACTTCATCAGCAGGTCAATGAAGCATCCTGATGCCTGGATTTCACACCGGTCCAGATGCCTATACTTCGAATAAGGTTTTAGGTTACAATATTGGCCATCCCTCCTAGGTAACCTCCCCTCCCTACCTGCAACCAATAGGATTGTTTTTGGGACAAACTAACAGGTAGGTGGGTCAAGGGGTTGGCACAGTTACTGCCCATCCCTTGGACCCTGATACCGGACCTCCTCTAAGGACGGTTCCGAATGCCCGACTCTGCCTTATGTATGACAGTGGGCGTGGCGTGAGTAATTTCCCCGTGTATACAGAGGGCAGATTGGACAACGAACGCTCCTATTTCCCAGGAAGTGAGACAACACCCTAGGTTTAATGAATAAATGTTGCCTTTTACTAAGCAGTTCTCAAGCATACGAAAAACAGATACACATGCAGATTCACACACGTTCCTTAGTTACAATAGTATATAGAAAGCAATCAGCATGAAAAACAATAAATCCAACAGACAAGGGGATAACACAACAGGATATCGCTTATACTTATCTGAGGTCCAAGCTGAGAAGAAATCTCCTTGTAGAAGGAATGGGGAAACTTAAGTATCAGCGGATGGAATTCTAAAGCACACGCGGACTAGTCCAGCCAGCCTCGTGCGGGTTCACGTGTCGTGACTCCCGAGAACACAGTAAGAATCACCTGCAGTACTTAAGTTGCAAGGTGGGGAAGGGATGGGTTAACCAGAGAAACAAAGGCTGTGTTTCTCTTTTTAGAAGCTTGTTTTTGGGCTTGGCTTAAGGCCAATAAACCCGTAGAAAACCGTCCCCTTTACTATGCTATAGGTTAGAAGGGTTGTGACGTCCTAGTTGAGGGGAAGGGGGCAATATTCAAATGCTCTACCCTAACTTCAAAGGGGAGCCATGTGGCCAGGTGTCTGTTACGTGGTTTCCCACAGATCAGCAATGGTGGGGAAACCTGTTGTTCTTCCAAGTTCCCAAACTGAGCAATAATGGCGTTTGTCTTCTTTGTCCAGAGGCACGCTAGGAATGTGCAGGGAAGCACGTGTTCTGTAGCACAAGCCTTGCTCACCCAAACGCAAGCATGAGATGCCAAGCAAGCCATACAAACACACAGCAATCCCCTTATCCCATAGGCACAGATGTACAGACTATTAACAGACATAGCATCAGCACAGTACAGACAATGCAGTTACAAGCACACATGGTAACAACCCCCTATAAAAGGAGAGAACCAGTCACCTGGTCCCTCCTACGTGGCTAGATAGCATCTCCCCTGCAACAACCCCTGTCTGCTTTTACCCCTCTTAAGTCCCACTTGCTATTCCCAACCCTTGCCTCTACTAGTGATCTCTTGATCTGCAGTCAAGAGACCCACACGTTCCGGCTGGTTCTGGTCATGTGTGGATCCCCTTTGTTTCCATTTCTTCCCACCCATTCTTCATTGGAACAACCAAGCTTCAAGACAGATAAGTATCGCCCACCATCACCCCTACCTGCTAATGCAACTGTGCTTATTTCCTACTTTAATTCTTAGTAACTTGATTGAATGTGTGAGTGCATCAGTATTATTTGTATGAAATATATTTTTAAGTAAATGACATCTATTTTAACTACAACAGCCTCGAATCCTTTACTGGTAACCCTTGGTGGGATCAGGACCTTGGTACAAATTGGCAAGAACCCATTTATAAATTTCCAATTGCTGTAAATAAAGCAATTCAGCTAACACAACCCCCTGTACAATGCAGAAAATTCACAAATACTGCCCCCTTCACACCCCCAGTGACTGCTTGTCCACACCCAGAAGATGACAAAAAACCTCTAGGATCTCCAGCCAAACCGATCTGGAGAAAAATTGCTTCCTGATCCCAAAGTGGCGATTGACATTCCCTGAGCGTGTAAGAAAGGGCCACAAGAACTAAGCACTGATGCAACCCTTC